TTGTAGGCTACCGCGCCCTCAGATCCTGAGTTAGAAGTATTCTCAATATAGTCCGTAATCAATGTTCACGAGCTTGATTTTATTTTAAAGTTATTGACCAGGATTTGTTAAATCTTGTTGCTGAAAAACAACATGCTTCAGATATACTGCAAATAAAACTTTTCCGCATATTTTGTAACCAAAAATAGTTTAGCTCTAAGGGTTTCCACATTACTTGGATTTGAAGTATGTAACCATGTATTGTTGCATCTTTCTGGTCAAACAGTTTAGAGAGATAAAATTTAATTTGAGAAAGCATATGTGCTTTCAAATAGGAATCGATCTGTTATTGCTTATTTATGTATTAGCACAATTATTTATGTTTTTAGCACAATATGTTGACGCATCATTTTTTCAGATATTTTTAAGGAAGAATATTATCAATAATATATACTTATTTACTTGCTGGTCAATATCAAAAAAACAATAATTTGCCTTAGTGCAAACTTATTAACACGCGTAACAGATCAGGCTTGTGGAAAATAAAAATTAAGGCAATGTGTATTTTTATAACTGCTGAAACAACCGTCAAAAAAATGGTTAGTGAGCCTACTAAGACTTAAAAAAGTCTCAAAAGAGTCCTAAAAGTCTATCAATAAAATTGCCAATTAAGATATTCTATCCTCATTTTTTGAAGTTTCAAATGTTTTATAAAATTTCTCAATGATTAGAAGTAAAACTGATACTTTTCTTAACAAAGAGGTTTGTTTAAATTTTTTTGAAGACATCTTGGACTTTTATGTTAAAGCAAGGAGATTTTTTATGTCAAGAATAATTTATAGACAAAACAAAGTTCAACAACTTAAGTCTAAGTCACAGGGAACTTCACTAAAAAATAAGATAACTTATATATATATATATATATATATATATATATATATATATATATATATATATATATATATATATACTATATATATATAAATATATATATAAATATAAATATATATATATATATATATATATATATATATATATATATATATATATATATATATATATATATATATATATATATATATATATATATATATATATATATACATAGGCGCCCGCAGAAAACTTTCTAAGGAAGGGGGGGGGGGCGCAAAACATTTTTTGTTATTGCTTTTTTTCCTGTTATCTATTATGTAAAAGTCAAGATATGTAAGATATAAAATAAAGAGAAGAAAAAAATTATATGCCCGTGGAAAAAAGAAGACAATTTAAACTTGTCAGCACTGTTTTGAAAATGTAGTGTGAAAACTACGAAACATGCTAAGATTGAAAAATATCGTGTTTTTCATACAAATAAGCAATTAATTATTTCGGAAAAAACTTAATTAGGTTATTTCCGAAACTGTAACGAAGTATCATTAAAATATATTTTTTACAGAAAAATTTAGTAACACTCAGAACTACAGAAAACAACTACAGAAAAATTTAGTAACAAAAATTTAGTAACTCTATGGCATGAAGAACGTTAAAAACAAGAAATTTTTTTTCTATATTTAGAAAATACAGGATGGGGCAAGTGCCCCCTCTTGCCCCCTTGCGGGCACCCATGTATATATATATATATATATATATATATATATATATATATATATATATATATATATATATATATATATATTTATATATATACTAGGGTGATCCTGCCGCCCTTATGTTCTCTGATTGAGCCGGACTTTTTTTGGGTGGGTGAGGTTTATTATAAATAGTAAAAATCTGAAATTTTAGAAAAAATGGACAACGCTTAGTGGTAGCAAATTTTAATTGAAATTTCAAGATTCTTACAATTTTTCAAAATTTGTTAATAATCAGGATGAAAAACTTATAATTATCAGCATAAACGATTATAAACGATTATAAAACGATTATTTTCTTTTACCCGACTAGATTATTTATTTACTAGTCAAGAAGGAAACATTGTAATAGCAGATCTAATCGAGACGAGTTCCCTTCGTACCGAAGTACTACTTATACGCTGAGTAGGCAGAGCCGGGACTTAAACCTGCAATCCTGCTGCTACGGCCAATAATTATTCCGAACTTTATAGCAACGCTTTAACCAGCGGAGCTATCCCGGCTTCAAAAACTACTGGATTGTTAATAGGAGTATTATATTAATAAATGTACGTTATAATATTATTACAAAAATTATTTCATTATAAGTCCTATTATTACATTATAAGTCCTAAAACATGTTATATTAGAAACTAATGAACAATTTACATATTAGATAATAGAATTGTTACTAAGTCAGTTAAAATTGGTTCTATTTCAAAAATAAGATTTGGATGTAGGATTATATGCTTTACATCGCCTAAGAATTTTCTACTTAACTATAGGAACTAAATTGGCTTCTTTTATTTTCCATACCTGCTTTGACAGCTCAGTATCATTTTTGTATTTTGGGATGTTAAAAGATTTAACGTGGTTAGCGTATCTCAATTTAAAAGAAGTCTCACTTACACCGATGTAGGATTTTTCGCTAGGAGATGAATCACTAGTGGTGGTTACAGTTGCTTTGTATACAATGTTGCTTGTTAAACATCTATTGGACAACGGGCAGAAATTTTTATCTCAGCAGTTACAATTTTTTTGATTAGAGTTTGTACCGTTGTATAAAATGTATTTGTTGTGCGAATTTATGATCGATTTCACACTTGGCATACAACTGTAGCTAACTTTGACTGTGTTCTTGTTAAAAATTTTATGTAGTTTGTTATTATTAGGAAAATGTTTGCCGATTAATTTCAAAAAACATTTTCCCACGTTGGTGCTAACATTTTTGCTAAATAGAGGATTAAACCAAATGATGTTGCGTGCTCTGTTCCGTTTTTTAGTTGATATTGCTTCAGAATTATATGTTAGATTACATTTAAAACCAGACTTTAATAAAGCCTCATTATATAGAGGAACAGCATGTTGAAATATTTCTTTGGTAGAAGAATTTGTAGATAATCTAAGTTGAACCGAGTGTGGTATTTGTTTTAATATACTTGGAGGGTGATTTGAATCAGCATGGATATAATTTAATGTATTATCAGGTTTGAGATAACGTTTAAATGTGCACTCACTAAGATTAAGAATGACGTCGAGGTAGTTGACAATTTTCATGTTGCATTGTATAGAAATCCGTAAGCCATTGTATTTAAATATTACGGAAAGATGCTTTTTTATTTTTTCCATTTGAGGGCCGCTTTTATTCCTAAAAACTGCTAATCCATCCTCACGGTATAAACCAACCTCAAACTTGTTATAAAATTTTGAAATTTCGAAAAGAAGAAATATTCCTACAAGCTCACAAACCTCCGCGCCGTCAAAAGCTTCCATGGAAACATCAAATAAACCACTTGATTGCTTTATCCAAACCTGATTATTATTGAAAAGCAAAGACTTTCTTGCATGAAAAATTAACGATATTTTCTCTTTATTTAGTTTTAAGTGTTGCTCTGCAAATTTGATAGAGTTTTTTAGAAGTGTTTCACTAATAGAAGGGTAGAAGTCAATGATATCAAAAATTAAAAAAAATTATAAAGGTGTTTGTCTTTTATGGCTTTAAACTAATCGATAACATTTCTAGTGTTTTTCCATTGGTTTAACTGTAATATACTTCTTAGGTCTGTATTAATTTTAGAAAGAACATCCTTGCTAATTCTACCAACCTCATTTTTAGCAGGATTTAATAAACGGACAGTCGGATTGTTTTTAAAATTGTCTTAATGGTCTTTTAAGTTAAAACAGTTGGAAGCTGTATTAATATCAATTTTATCGAAAACTTCATGATTTTTCAAAAGACGTTTACCTTCTATATTTACTTTATTTATTATATTTGAGTTAGATAATTTGTAATTTGAAGTGATGGCATTTCTTAACAGGTGGTTGTAATCATTTTTAGATAAATTGTAAAGATTAAATGTTTAATCAGCATACGTATAAGTTTGATTAGATTTTCAAATAATGTTTATATCTTGTTTTAGTTTATTTTGAAAATTGCTTTGTACCTTTCGAAACTTAATGTGTTTTACAAGATCAATGAGTTCGTTCTTAAAAGCTAGCATTTCTGTAATTTGTTTTGGATGATTAGATGTTTTTAATCCGTAGTTATAATAAAAATTGTTCTTACTGTTTGAACTCTTGTTTAAAAAGAAAAACGCTTTCCATCGCATTCTTTTGATTAAAGTTTCAGTTTTATCGAATAATTGTATTTTGAAGTCTTTAATGGATGGTAACGGAATGTTCTTGACTGAATATCCAAAGTTTATTTTTTCCATCACATATGTTATTATTATTATTATTATTATTATTGCTATTATTTGTATTATAATTATTTGACGTCAGAACTTATTCCATATTTTTTTTTGAATTTTGTAACGGCTTTTTCTTGATTTAAATATATAGCTGATGAGTGCCGAAAACATCATGAAACTTTAAGTACCGTAAAAAAGTTTTTTTTTCTCATCTAACCTTTTATTTATTTATTTATTGATCTATTTTGTGATTATTTCACTTTATATTGATCAAATCGAAAAAGAGTTGATTATTATCAATTAATCAAAACAACAATATATATATATATATATATATATATATATATATATATATATATATATATATATATATATATATATATATATATATATATATATAACTAATGTTAATATTGTACTTATAAATACATTATTCTTTTATAATTTGACTCCCTTTGATTGGAAGAAATATTTAAAAACCTATTACTACGATGAAAACCTATTATTATTATGAGTTGTTGCTTTAAATTACAAAGATTTTGCGGTTACACTTAGTAGTGTTGTAACGGTACACGGTACTTCGGTACCAAGTCGGTACTAAAAAAATTTAAACGTCACGGTACCAAGTTTTCTTAAGTTCTGGTAGTACCGAAGACCCGTTCAAACCCGATTCCTTAATGCGCATGCGTGCAGTAGCGCGTCCTCTTTATTAAACTGCTGAGAAATGGCGACCGGTGGTGCAGGTGATGTGGTAGCTCTAAATCAACTTGTTGAGAAAAAAGGAGGAAAGAGCCATGTGTGGAAATATTTTGAATTTGCGGCTGATGACAAGGGGAATATCATTGATAATCAAAAACCCATTTGCAAACGATGTCGCCGAAGTTTTCTCTCAAAAGGAGGAAACACATCAAACTTAATAAAACACCTCAAAGACCGACACCCGGATCTGACGAAAGAGTTCAAGCAGGTAAGTTTCAAACTAATTTAAAATATAGATCTTCTGTTATGAATTATATATCATAGTTTAATTTGAATGTCTGAACCAGTCGGATAGAAATAAACAGTCAAAAATAAGTCTTACAGAAAGATTAAAATAACAATAACAAGCTTAAAAATTAAATTAAAAAAATATATACTTTTTTTTACAACCTATTGTTAAGACTTTTCTTTTAATAAGTATTTCTGTAAAAAGTCGTTTGTAAAAAGTTGTTTTTAAAAAGGCGCTCATAAAAAGTCGTTTGTAAAAAGTCGTTTGTAAAAAAGATTTTGACGTCTTTAATAGAATGACTTTACAGAGAAAATAAAATCGGTGACTTTAAAAGCCAAATGTAACTTTTTAAGTGACTTCGAATTAAAACGTTTAAGCATTAAGAGTTTTGAGCAACGTTAAATGTTTTGAATAAAGTCGTTGTTGTTAATAAAATTAATATTAAAAATAGTTCTAAACGATTTAACGTAATAAAAAAATTTATAGTTTAGTAAAAGATAATATAAATATATATTTTTGCTGATTCTTTCCTTCTTCAAAAAAATAAATAAAAAAATTCCAAAAAAAAAAAATATTTATCGAAGAAAACGTTTAAGCGAATAAATTTTTATGTTTAGTTTTTTCGATTTAAGTATTAAAGGTTTTTATCGCATTATAAAAAAGAAAATAAATATAGTTATAGAAATAGTTTTAAATTTATTATAAAAAATACATACTTATAAAATAAATAAAACTACATTTAATTATTGGGAAAATCCTTCGAATCCTTTACTTTTTTACTTCCATGGTGCTACTAATAGAAATTATGTAATTACCTACCGTGTAAAGGATTAAACAATTATATACAAAAAGTATTTTTTAACCAAATATAAAATATTTAATCTTTTTACAAGTACTAATTATTTATTAAAATTGTTTATATAGGCTTTTATATAGGCTATTATAAAAGCTGAGGTTTGTTATTTAGAGAAAAACTAATGTTTCATTTGTTCAGACTCAGCCCATTTTTGACTTCTATATTTATAAAGTAAATTTACTATATTTTCCTTTTACAGCTGCAAGCTGAGGAAGACCATGGAACACCCCCGCAAACTCATAAACAGGCAACAGTTAAAGAAGCTTTTCAGTGGCAACAAAAATATGACAAAAACTCACCTGAGGCAAGAAAGCTGAACCTAGCTGTTGCTGAATTCATATGTATTGATAAAGTGCCGATTTATACAGTTCAAAAATGTGGATTCCAACAAATGCTCCATCATTTCAACCCAAAATACCAGCTTCCAAGTCGAAACTTTTTTATGTACACTGAGATTCCCCGCATGTACAATGACACCAGAGATCTCATAATCCAGCATCTCAGTGACAAATCATTTTACAGCTGCACAACAGATCTTTGGACAAGTAGAACTGCAGACACTTTCATGTCTTTAATACTGCAGTACATTACTAAATCATGGGAATCGCAATCCTGGTGTCTTGGCTGTTGTGGTCTCAACACAGACCACACTGCTGAAAGTTTGAAGGAGGCCTTTGATAAAAAACTTGAAGACTGGATGTTGGACATTGCAAGAATGTCAGGCATCACAACAGACAGTGCCTCAAATAACAAAAAACCTTTGAGGACTACACCTGGATTCCTTGTTTTGGATAATCCACCTTGTTGTAAATAAGGCATTAGACATAAACAGGGTGTCTGGAGTGCTGTCAAGGCTTAGAAAAACTATTTCTGACTTTACAAGATCCCCAAAACTTTCACGCCAGCTGACCAAGAAACAGAAAGATCTGTCCTCTCCAGACCACAAACTCATTCATAATGAACCCACTCGCTGGAATTCTTCATACGATATGGTGGAACGTTTCTTGGAGCAGCAGCAGGTTGTCTGTGCTGTCTTGGCTGAAGACAGGAAAAAATGGCATCTGATGCCAAAAGACTCAGATATTACAGTTTTAGAAACTGTTAAAGCAGTTCTTGAGCCACTCAGTCAATTTACTGATGCACTTATCGGGGAAAAACATACCACCCTGTCTTCAGTCGTGCTGTTACTCTGGAAGATATTTGAGTGTCTCAGTCATGAACAAAGTGACTCTGCATTAGCCAAAGAGATGAAGGAAAAGATACACGAGTATCTTCAGCATCGCTATGATGACCTGCAGCTTCGGTTTCTTTTGAACACTGCAACCTACCTTGATCCACGATTTAAGAACAGCTTTGTCTCTCTAAAGGATGATGTAAAGCAAAGTCTCCTGAATGAGGTGAAAAAAATGGGCAATGAAAAAGAAGGAATTGCATCTCGGGTGTCTGGAGGATTGTCAAGTAAAGAAGTCAGGCCATCGAAAAAATCCAAAAATCACCTAAAGTTTCTGCTTTCCACCATTCAAGGGGAAAAGAAAGAAAAAGGAGAGCCAGCATCCTCAAGTCAAGCACCTCTTTCTGCAAGTGACAAGATAAATGGTGAATTCTTGCTGTACGATCAGATGCCTGAGGTCAGTGCTGAGGATGATCCACTTGTCTGGTGGAAAACAAATATGGGTACTCTACCTCAACTATCAGAGTTTGCCAGGAAGTACCTTTGCATTGCTGCATCTAGCTGTTCATCTAAAAGAGTGTTCAGTACTGCAGGGTACATTGTTAGCCCAAGACGCTCAAGACTGAGTCAGGAACATGTTGATATGCTAGTGTTTCTATCGGAAAATCTGGAAATGGCAAAAAAAGTAACTTAAGGAATAATTGTGTAGACCAGTATTGATTTGGGTGAAACTTGTTTAAAAAAAATGTTGTTATTTATCTAGTTATTTAATTACTCAAATGTTTACAATCCTTGGCTTAAAATACTTAAATTATGCCTTTGTTGTTTTGTTTTTTTACATGTATAATAATTTTTTATTTACAACTTGTTGTTCAGTTATGGCATACTTTGTTTAATTTATAAAAATGTTAAAGTTTATAAATAAGAGTGATTATTCAGTCATGGCTTATTGTTTTGTTATTTATCTAGTTATTTAATTACTTAAATGTTTACAATCCTTGGCTTGAAATACTTAAATTATGCCATTGTTTTTTTACATTTATGATAATATTTTAGTTTATTACCTGTTGGTCATGGCATATTTTGTTTAATTTATAAAAATTGCGTTTTTTAGGTTTGTAATTTTTCATTTATTATTTGTGGAAAAAGTTGAAACACAATTTTAAACAAGTATGAAGAATGGCATTGTTTAACTTTATTAGTAAAAATAGTGTGTTTTTCAGCTAGCATGTTTTTGTGTTTTGCTTTGATACAAAGAATTGTGAATTTTTATTGGCAAATTTAGCCTAAATTAATCTTTGGTTTGGTACCGATATTGGTACCGAGAACCGTGGATTTTTACTGGTATCGGTACCGAATACTGAAATTTTGGTACCGTGATAACACTAACACTTAGTGTCATTTTCACATCATTGCTTACATTTAAGGCCTACTGACGGAATTTAAAAATAACGGGACAGTTCAACGTCAGGCCAGTTAGTTCTCAGCTATTGCATGTGATCAAGCAATAGAACAAACATGTAATAGGGATTGTAAAACCAATAGAAGCATGATTAGCCTTTTTCAAACCGCGTCAGACCTGGAAACTAATATTAACTTGAGAAGACATTTTTTTAAAGCGCAATATTTGTTTATGTTGAGAACTCGTTATTTTTAGACAGTCTAATTATGTTCTTAATTATAAAGTGGTATTGCAGCTCGTATTTGTGTTTTGACATTTTTAGATCTAAAGATAAGGAGGGAAATCCTATAAAAGCATATCGATTGCCGAAAGATGAAAATATTCAGAAACATTACATGAAGTTTTTTAAAACTTCTGGAATGAACTGGCAAAAAGGACATATATGTTCTGCCCATTGGAGTAGGAACATTAGAGATAACACCGAGCATTTACCAGACATTATTGTTCCTCCAGATCAACTGGAAAAGCTTAAAAAAAGAGTTATTAATTCGAAAAAAAGCTATATTAACGCAATTTCGACAACACAGAAAGCAAAGAAATTAATAATATATAAAAATGCTTCAAGAAGATATAAAACTGTTTTGTCAATAGCTCAAAATATATATAGTTTTAAAAAAAAGACGAACTCTTGCAGTTCGTACTAAACAAACTATAAAAAAAACTTGAATTTTCAAAAACTGAATTAAAAAAAAAACTTGAAAAATCCTTAAAAACAATTGAGTTATTGCACTGTTATAAAAGAAAAAGATAATTTTACTCTGAAATTACAGAGAAGTCAGGTATACTCTCACTTATACGAGAAGATCACGAAGTGATGTCAGGTAAAGGATTTGCGATAACAGAACTATGCTTATGTAAACGTATATACTTAAATCGACGAAAACAAAAAGAAGAGCACCAATTTTTGAATGTGAAATACAAAAAAACTTTAATATTGTTGCCACCCTTATTCATATCGAGCGTTATATTGGGAGAGTACGTAATTTAAAATTTGGTCTTTAAATTAAATGGATTTATTAGGTTCAACTTGGCAAATGTGCCATATTACAAATATAGCATTTTCTCATATTTAACAATAAATATTCCTAATTAATAAAAAAATATTTCAAAAAGATATACTGTTAAAAGTAAAAACAAATTATGTATGAATTGTAAAGTCATTATCCTTTTCAAAGTTTAATAAAACAATTGATTTTGTGTATTTCTTGACTAGATTTCGAACCGGTTTCAGGTTTTCAAAGTTTAGTTTTTTAGCTTGCAATTTTTCACCAAACAAGCAAACTTCTTTGTTTTCATGATAACTCCTTTTAAATATTTTTGAATCGAATAAAATAAAGTCACAAATGTCTAATAATATATTGATTCGTAGATAATTTATTTCAGTTAAAAAAAAATTCCACTTTCAGACTCTGGATAATAAGATAACAAAATACAAAATTCAGCATCAGCGCAAAACATTTACAATTGACATTGTATATAGTAATGTGGAAATCGATTTAATGATTGAAGGGGTCCATCACAGTTCTCTGCCCTAGTTTTAACCTCCAAAAGCAAGCCACCAGCAGCAAGAGCATCTGGGCTTGCTCCATAGCAGATTTTTGTAGGGTGTGTAAAGAAACCACATTTAGTTGTTTTTGATTAGGAAACTTTTTCAAAATAAGATATAACAGTTTTTTCAAACTCTACTCCTAAAAGTTTGTCATCTTCCGTTTTACCAGTTTTTACAGCGCTCTACCATTCGATAAATTTGTTTTTACCCTTAAGTCCAAGTAAAAAAGGCAATCGAGTTCCAGTTATTTTAAATCTGTTCCCACTCTTCAGTATCTTGTGTAACATCTATATAATTAGCTCCTAGTGGTTTTGGTGAGTTTAAATATCTGATGTCTATATGAACTTTTGCTTTTGGGTTAATTTTTAATTGCTTTTTTATGCCATTTCTAATATTAAGTGCATTATTGTGTTTTTCGTCATTAGTGGACTTACTTCAATATTACTTCAATAGGAATTACTTCAATAGGTAAAATATCTTTTGCCAAAATTTCTTCAGAGCTGCAATACTAATTTGCACATTAAGAGCAGAAGAATTGTCAAAATTTGTTATAATTGTATTAATTCTCTGTAGCTTAATTGTGTCATCAGATAATATTGTTTCATCAAACAAAAGTGTTTTTGTATAATCATGATCAGCAAGGGAAATAGCTTTTTTTTTTCAAACATTAAAGTTAAATGCTCTCCTAAAGAAGATTTTTTACCACTATCATATTTAGAAAGAGCTGAATAAAAATGTTCAGTAACAGGCTTCTCCTTTTAGAGCTTTTCTTTTAGTTCACGAGATATGTTAGAAACATTACGTTTAAAATACGAAGCATGAGGGTCAACAGCAGAGCATGTAATAGTGCCATGTTTTTTTGCTGATTTTACTTTAATCTCTTTAAGAGGCACCAGAGGGATTCGTGTCTTCATTTCGTATCCATATGTAATAATTTGTTGAGATTTGCTTATTGCATTATTGCTTACCGCAGTTAACGGCTTCATGTCTTTATTTATCCGCACATAATAATTTTTATATTTGGTATAACCTCGTGTTCGTGTCTTATACATATGACGATTTTCAACAGTGTTGAGGTTTGCTTATTGGAGTACGGTGTGTATTGAATTATATAGTAAGCAAATAATAACAGGAATAATAGCAGTTTTAATTTTATATTATTATAATAACTATGTTATTTGATAACTATTTAATTTTGAATTTGTTTTGTTTAATAAGTTATACTGTTATCAACAGTACATCCTAAAATGTCTTCAAAGGAGAATTATTAGGAATACACAAAGAAATGTAAAAATTAAACTTCTATTTGCATTTATTTTTAAAGAGGATCAAAAAAAATAACAGCAAAACATAAAATACTTTATGAAATCTTGTCATAAAATTTAAATGAGTCTATCGTGAAATGTTCTTTGAACAACATAAAAAGAACCAGTGTGTTTTAAACGTGTGTTTACAAGACCCAATCTTTATTGAACTTGATTGAAAAAATGAAAAACTCTTAAGACATTGCGATAATTAATAAAGAAACAAACAAAATCCTAATCACTCAAAAAACAGACGAAAATTGTGAGAAAAAGCGTGAATAGAAAGCGATCGACAAACTAAGTAAAGATGACAGCATAGATATAATAGAAAAACGGAAAGATAAAGGAATATGCATAATAGATAAAATAAAAAATGAGAAAAAAATACTGTTGATGCTTGAAAATAAAACATCTATAATAGAGTTAGAGGAGAATTCCACTAACAGCATCAAGATGGAAGTCACACAGGAAATCAAAAAAACACGAGGAGCATCTTGTTAATTACAAAAATATTAGAAAACTTTATGCGCTCAGCGGCTGACAAAAAGACACATTTTTATGGATTCGTAACCAAGATTCGCAAAGAAGGAGTCTCTCTAAGAATCTCGGGTTGCGATTAACCAACACACAACATCTTAGAATGTTTTGCTAAATATATACAACCAATAGCCAAAGTCTCAGGTTGCGATTAACTAACAGACATCTCAGAATGTTTTATTAAATATATACAACCAATAGCCAATTTGCGTCTAGCCTATTTCAAAGACATCAAACAACTCTTGAAGATGCTCTCAGATACTCCGGTGCCACCAAACGATTATATAATAGTTAGAGCCGATGTAGCATCCTTTTATATAAACATCCCCTACGAAGACAGCATTAGTGGTGTAAAGGAGTTAATACGCAATCGCTGGCACTTACTTAAACGCCAGGAAAACCTCCCGCCTATATTGGCGGGAGGTTTTCCTGGCGTTTAAGTAATTATTCTATATGAGTTAGAATCTTTCAACAAAAAAATTCGGAAATTCCGTTGGCACGAAAATAAACCCCAACATCTTCATGAGAGTATTGGATGAAAAATATGTCTAAAGTTAAAAAACTATATGTGACAATTCCATTTTTACCTTTTATATTATTTTATATTATTGCCGAACTTAATAGCTTTAATGGTAGCAGTGTCCCTTGGAGCGTATTTGACAGGAAACCCTTGGCAGCCATTGCAACTGAGGTATTGACAAGAAAGAGTCTCGCCTTTGCTTTATAAGATTTCACGTCAGCAAACGTGAAACTTACATCGTACGCACGTAAAATTCATGTTATGTAACGTTAAAACATGCTTAAACATACCCTAGGGGCATTTGTTTTTCTAAGTTGCGTTC